GAGTCTAGTTCCATTTCGTAGTTTAGGCTATCATCAATAGAGTTCAGATAGCTTATAAACCTTTTCTTATCCCGGTTTATAACTGCAAAATATCATCTGCGTAGTACCAGTAAATTTTTGGGGAACAACCATAGTTTGTCGTCACCCTGCTTTCAAAGGTTTTCACGTACAGATTTACCAGTACGTGGAATACGGGCGAATCCTTGGCCAGGCCCTGCTCCTAAACTTACAGTCTCGACTGGAACGTGAAGTACGACATACTAAGGTATACCATCATTCTTCCGATTATTTTATCTGTTGTGAGTTTCCTCTCTTCAATGCTATTGCTCTCGGTCATACGGCGCTGCACTGCTTCCAATGCGTCACTCTTGTGTAGGTTAGTGTATAGTAAGCAAACGTAGAAGCTAGCCATAATTTAGTCTGATTTGATGGTCGAAACTATCACTTTTCGCGAGAATTCCAATGACATTTTACAATCTTATTTGTTCTCCATTTTAGGAATTTCAACAAACCTGCTGGATATGTGGATGGTTAGTGGGTCAGAGAACGGAAGGCATCCACAGTGAGCCGATTACGAACTTCGGGGTTATGTGGTTTCGGTAGCCTAGGCGACGACGTTGATTTCGGGTATACGTTGTACGACATCTACACAGACCTAGGTGGTTCTTCACACTCCTCAGGTACTTCCCGTTCACTGGTTTATTCTTGTTTATTGTGGACGATAGGATTTTGTTCTCAACCACTTTGAAGGGCACTGTTCCTTAATGCTGCCACATTTTCTCCACATACTTCGACTAAGTTGTGTTAAAAGTCACACCTTATTCCATGAGTCTACGTTTTCTATCACGCAATACTCTCTCCGGCCTACTACCTATATTGCAATAGTTCATGCTATGTTTAAACTTAGCAGTGAAGCTGGAGGTCTTCGTAAATACACCCCTTAAATGAATGAAGTCCTCATTCTTTATCAGCTTCCCAAGTGCGGGCTTCGCTTCTGAGGCATTATTGTGAAGTCGGTAGTAGTTTGTCAGTGTCTCAAACGTCTGCAATTCCTCGACTGTCTAGTTCACAGGAACAGAAGAGATTAAAAACTACAATGTCGCAAACCGGCAGATGCGGATGGAGTACTGCATTATAGTTTGGGTCATCCAAAGCACTTCTATACTGCGATCGCATCCTCACTATTTTACATGTCACAGACCATGTGCACAGACCATGTGCACGGAAGTAGGCAGTGAATGTGTTGATAAATAGTGGATATTCGAGGCGGTTAATGAAACGTCAGTTTCAGGGACGCCTAAACCCACCTTCACAACGTACAACGGAGTGGATTGGGACGGTGGGAATCTATTATAAAGTGGGAACTTCGGGTGGTTACTAAACAAGGAGAGGATAAGAGGGGCTTTCCAAAATGGTCAAACGATCCGTTCCGCAGTGTTACGTTTGAAGGATGCACTTCCGAAATATGGGACGACCAACTGCGTCTAGAAAATTAGTGGAAAGATTGTGCACACGTGTATATACGCCAAACCGCAGGAGAGTTATGCACGAGCGTAGCGGAACATAAGGAGTATCTTTCGTGTCTACAGAGAAATCGGCCTGAATACCAGGCCTTGATAAAGGATTTGGTGGTAGCGGTACATGCGCTAGACACGGCGCACGAAATCCACGAGGATAACGTAGAGATCATTAGGAAAGGAATAAGAGCAACAAGATTAATTGCCAAAGCAGTGTGAATAGCCAAAGCCAAGAACTAATTCGACGAAATAGACTGGGTGTGGATGCATGCCGGACTGCCTTAACCTGACCAGTGTGAATGGCGCCGGCGTCACATAACCATCACTAGCATCAGAAGTAACGGGAACAAGAATACCTTACATCCGAATGACCTATGATGTGGTTCAATCGGAAACGTTCCATACTTGCAGCATCACTGGGGTGACCTCATGACCCATGGAACTGTAGCCGCAGTAATGTACTGACCCGTGTTATTTCTCGCGATTATTATGCCGATTCATTATGAAGGCTTGGGTAATTACGTACCGGTTCACCTAGCTTGATGAAGCTCTTGCGTCAAGAGTGAAATGTAGTCGTAATGCAAGTCCATGCAAAGCTTAGCTGTATTCATAAGTTTTGGTGATTATAAACTCCCAGTGCGTCACAAGCTTTTTCCTAAACACTGCGTAGCTTTTCCTTGCATTCAGTGAGCAGATCTGAACTTTGTTAACCGTGTATTGGGACTCTCACTGGTGCGTCGAACATCTTTTCTTCTAAGCTCAAGTACGATCGTAATAGGTGCTTTTCCAGCTGACTGCACGCAAGATCATATACCTTTTATGATGGGAATGATATGCGATGGGTTTTATTTTCGAGGAAACTACGTCGCAACTGATGTATGTCCGTTGTCAGAATCAGACTTTTATCCCTCCATGCTTGGAATTATTAACTTAGTACTTATGAAACGAGTCTAGCCTGTTGCAACAGAAATGGGAAGCTAGGAGAACAGGACAACCCTCTCATCCACACCCCGAACTACAGGTATTCTCAATAATTAACTTAATATCCTGCTACAAGAGTAAGGAGAGGTCAATACTGTCACCTGCAATACAGAAAACATCTGTGGCCAGAGGCTTGTGTTTCAAAATGGGGCAGTTTAACCGAGGCTAGCTGCAGTTTCAGTGCAGTTTCAGTGGGACACCAGGACTACTGGGTGACGTGGATCATCGTCAGTTCAAAACCACGCGAGCAAAGAAATGCTGCATTTCAGTGAGAATGTTTTCCCACTTCAGGTGACCAAGCTTTCACAAAGCGTGACGTATTTTCTTGTCTCATTAATCGGATACAATGCTTCATTCCACCAAACTGAACTCACTTTAGAACCTGAGTCCTCCTTTAACGCATCACCAATTTTGCTCATGAGGTTCGAAAGAAATGGAATAGTGTTGACTGGAAAAGCCTGAAGATGGAAAGTAGGCGCTTTGTCATTCATGTGTTATTGTTTTCACAAAAGATGGAGAAAAAATGGAAGTATGACAAGATAAAAAGCGTATTCCTCGGTTGGAATCGTATAAGTTTCAATCCACGTGTTACTGAGCACAGCAGTGTCGTTCACACGGTGTATCGCCACAAGACAGCATTATCTTCAACGAGTGACTATCAAACTAGCCCTCCCAGCCATCTGCTGTTCCCTGTAACCGAACCATACTCAGTTGGGGTCAGTCTACAGCGCACGCTCAGTCACCCAGCTTGATGGGTAAGTGGGTCCTTTCTGTCCAACATGAAGCCGAGGCAGCAGTTCTGTTGTTGTTTACGGAGTACACATCTAATGCCTAGAGGGGTAAATGGCGCTCACATTCACTACAACCTTGTGTTCATGCATAAATCAGGGGAAAGTGCAACTAGAATTGCTTATAAATGTCATGCGATGTCTTGAAAGGCCGCAGATCATGTTTCGAAGGTCATGGACTAATTCTAAGTTGTGTTGTTTAACCTGCTTGAAAAGTTGTACGTATTCAGATCCATGGTGAAGAACTGTCAGAGCGCCTGATCTTTTCACCAACATAGCATTACGAGTTCTACTTACTCAGTAGGTAGAAAACCCTGGGTCTCACTCGGATACAGTGAGTTTCTCGTCCCTGTGCTTGAAAGGCTACAGAAACCAATGATAGAGCAGATGGTCGCTGTGACGGTTGATGCCCTGCCAGCACCGTCACTAAGTCACATCACGGCAAATTGCTTTTCGCTACTGGCACTTCCCTGGGTACGGTATGTGTCGAATTAGAAAAGTGTCAAATCAGTATCGGCAACTTGATACCACTGATACCATACTGATCCCTTAAAAATCTGCATAAACCCATTCCCAATTTTGCTGCAAACAACACCCGTCAGTGCAGTAACTTTCAGTGTTGCCGTGGCAATTAATGGTCTGTCGACTAGCTGTATAGGGTGTACTTCTTGCCGATGTAACAGCAACCAACACTACTCTGTCACACTTAATGGCAGTAGTAGTCGTAATAGAATGCATCCACTCTAGGTTCTACTGGGGTGGCCACCACGGATGTGAACAACGCCTAATGGGCAGCTGTATTGAGTCCACATAGACTGAGCCCATTCGAAGCTATCTGCTGACTCCTCAACTCATAACGCTGGTGCAAACGAGTGAAATAAACAAGCAATCGCACAATCTCTCCATTACTACTGTCCCCAAGTGGACTTTTTCGGGTATTCCTCTCCACACTACGCATGGTAATCCGTTGTTTATGCTCATTGGCCGATTGCCTTAGGCTGATTAGAGGGGTTTTGAGATTGTATGATCGTCTAGTATTGGTTGTTGACTCCCGTACCTACTCACGAAACTAGTTTCTTACTGGCATACGGTAGCTGACAAAGATTATAGGGACCCCATACACGTAGAAGTGACCTCGACAGCACCTATCATATTTTATGCTAACTAAGGTGTTACCTTCGTACTCTGTAACCTGAAGCAAACTGGCCAAACAGTACGTTATCAGGCTACTTGTGAGATTCGTCTCAGTTGCACCATTTGCTCTTTGATCAAGGAAGGTTACAAAGGGTATTTCAACGGACAGCTTGGTTACCTTATGCTTAGAGTTCGCGAAGGCCCAGTCACGAAGTTGTCCACGGTTTAAACGTGCGTACACAACTAAGACCATTTCAGCACTATATGCTTTCTAAAATCATTCCTGTGTACGGGTTGTTCTACAAGGCACCAGCACTCGACAGTCGGCTGTGAACTGCTGTCATTCGTCATCTTAACTGACACGCTGCTCAACGGCACGGGTCCCGTAGACAAAAATCCAGCTGACTTGATCGGATACCTACAACCAAAGTGTGCCAATGGGAGCAAAACAAGGAGAGTGATCATAATCAGACCCCAAAGAGATTTTCTCAGACATGTTCCCCATGTGACGGTGGCTGTGGTGTTTCATACTTCTTCAACCCTACTCTCCTTGACAAGACAGTACAAGCTCTACTGGACAGACAATCAGTACCATGCTAAAATCGCGTTAACGGTTGCGGGACACCGACTACATGCCAGTGTTATAATGTTCGGTTCGCTATCACACGAGAACAATAACGGATTCAGGAGTGAACCACCACATTATTTGTGACCCGGCGTCTAGGTAGATATCTGCATCCCAGGTCCGGTTAGTGTAGCCTGTTGACGAAGCAATCCCCCATTATGACAGATTACAAGCGGAACTAAGCACTTTTGATTGCTACCCCCGTTATATGCATGGTATATGTGTAGTGGCGGATAAATGCATAAATCTGGTTGAAGTTCTCGAGCGGTTTAACTGAGCCCACGCAGCACTGCAATCTACTACGAGGTAGAAACCTGCAGTCGGCTTCCGTAGCTAGATGTCTTGTTAACTAAGGGGTCAGACGGCTCCATCCAGCGACAAGTCTACAGAAGGGATACGTGGATCGGTCAGTACACGAATTTTCACAGTTTTGTCCCCTTGAGATATAAGCGAAACTTAATCCACTGCCTTACCATAAGAGCATGTATAATTTGCTCATGGGATAACCTGGATGAAAAACTAGCCTTTATAAAGAATAAATTGCGCCAGAATGGCTACAGTGATGGACTTATTGCTAAGAATTTTGAAGAAAAACCCAAGCCGGTACCAGTTTTAACCGCTGCGAAGGAGTTATTTATAAGATTACCCTTCAGATGAGATACCGCTGCCGAAAGCCTAACCCAAAATCCTTCAGCGGTAGTCAAGCCAATATTCCCAGTAACCAAGATAAAGGGTACATCTGCTAGTGAACCACTTGTCTTTGCACACAATAAAGATATGCTGGCATTGCTGACTTCATCTATGGTTATTTATCAGTTCAAGTGCGCTTGTGGCGCCACTTATATCGATCGAACGGCAAGGCACTTGTCCAAACGCGTGAAGCAGCACTGCCCACGCTGGTTGCGTCAAGGAGGAACTGCGACCATTAACAAGGCAGATTGTATTTCTTTCTTTCTTTTACCCATAACTATGATGGTAATGGCCTAAAGATGAATCAAGGAGAAAAATTTTCACCTATGGTCTCGTGTTATAAAATTTGGAAACCTTTTTGATTACCGTTGGCTAGTGTCATTACGTTGCGCAAATATATTCACGTGTTCCATTTATCTACCTTAACTAGCATTAGCTAGGTTATTACATTTGAAAAGTGGTCACCTGATGGATCCCCAAATCAAGTACTAAAGGCGCAGCAGTATGGCAAACTTCGCCGTCCCCCACAGTTGCATTTGCATCCTATGTGCCGTCAGTCGAATTGCCAAAGCCATAGTCTCCTTCGTACCTACAAACTTTTCCCCACTTTCACCAGGTTGTCAGTGCACAAAGCTTCGGCTACACGCAACGGGAAATTCAACTGGTCTCTCTCACAGTGGCTACCTAACATTTCGTTCTTGCCAATGTTTGAAACATGGACGCATGAGAAGCTGGTAGAGCTCCGAGTAAAAATGAAGTCTAGATTTTGGCTAGGCACCACAAACAATTGTAATAGCTCTGCTAAATGAGAACTTTTAAAGAAATCGGGCGATTCTCTTCCGAAACACACCGTATCCATATTTCCTCAATCAGCAAACTTGAAGCCACTAGTTGTGTCGATGATAACAAGGCCAGGATTACGGCAACATCACGGGTATTCTGCTCGAGTGGCCTGTATTCAGTCTATTATCTCAGTGTTTTGTTTTTGTCTACCCAAACTGCATAAACTGGCAGCACCTTCACTCAGCTGGTGCTCTAATAGTGCGAAACAGGGGGTGTAGCAATTTACACACATAATAGTAAATAGGTAATGCTACATTTCTGTGGATCGGCGCGCAAATTTCTCGCAAACCCGAGATGATTTTATCCCAACAGATTAAGAACTTGTCTGGTTTAATGTAGATAACCAAATCCGGATTGATCAGAAGAGTGGAGTACCCCATTTGCAAGTTTATAACCGATCGAAATACACCAATAAACTTCAGTTCGCTCCTTTCCCGTAAAGTAGAACTCTAGCCCATTCGTAAACATTAGATTATATTTATCATAAGTAACTGAACGTGATCTCAAATCGTACTATTGCTCTCAAAGATGACCACAAACGAACATTCGTTATCATGGTACCTGATCCAAATGAGAAATTTGAACACTCACCTGTACGTCGTATAGTGCTAGCAGACTACCAGACCGTACACATTTTAACACTTCTTGCTGCAAGAATCTTTGAAGGTTTACCTCGTCGTTAGAGGTTACTTTATCGAATCGTTCTGTCAACGCCCAAGCAGAATGCTCCACCAATCGACGCCCAAGCAGTCTGCTCCAGACCCGCGTCGTCGTTCTGCGACCAGTCCCACTCAGTCCCGTCAATAATGCAGGCTTAAAAGAAGATTATGGATGAAGATAGAACTGTTTCTGAGCACTGACGACTTATAAACAACTAGTAAGTGATGTTTGAATTTCCATTAACTGATCTAGAAACTGTGCAAGGCTCAAGTGACCATCAAAGAAATCATTATACCTAACACACTAGTTAGAGTTCATCTGTGTGGTCATGCTTTCGACTTCTGGCTAGGATGGTGTACTGTTACTTTGTACTATTAAGTCTGAATTTCATAAACTCGTGAAATAACAAGAACCACCTCCGATTGCTGCAGCTATATGCAGTCATGCGACTGAAATGAAATAGACACATAGAACGTTCCTTTGACAGGAGTATACGTTTGGGCATCATCGTTAATCAGTCATCATCAAAAAATGGTTTCAGCTTTATTTGATATTATGTGTAACGTGCTCTCTGCTTAATAGAGGTTTTGACAAACATACTGGAAGCCGATGGCATTGCCAAAGATCCGACTAGTAAGAAGTAGCCGATGTGAGCTAACCTTGAATGTGTTCTGTCACTCGAACCCATACGTCTTCACGCATCCTAAGATGATGGCTCTTTGGATTCACGATCGTAATGCCGCTTTGGACATAGCATTCTCCATTGCAAACGGTCTTGAAGCATCATCGGTGGTTGTATATCAGGATGGAGCATAATTTTGCCAGTGGAAACTAGGTTCTCATTCTGTGGTTGAATAAAAGCTGAAAGCAGCTCACTGTTATTTCTGGAGACGGGGTGTTTCTGCGTTCAAAAAGCATGATGTATGTGTCCTCATTCAGCTCCTTAGTTTTGATTAATATTCCCGTTCATTCCCCATTTGCCTCCACCTTCCTATTCGATTAGCTCAGGTAATGACAAGCTAGGCAATGGTAAAAGTCCTACTTCTTGCTGGAAACTAGGAATTACTCCGTGGTAATCTGCAGGCCGTTGTTCAAGGCCACCACTTAAGAGATTCCACATCGAGCAAAATGACTGTAACTTGTTCACCACAGCATAGGCAATGGTCCTAAATACCGTATCGATCTCCAAGTCCTTCCTGAAGTGGTCCATTGTAATCGGAAAGTCCTTACCATCATGCTCGAATAGGTTAACCACTGGCTTCCGTCATGGCCTTTATGCGACCACTGGAAGCGCCATTAATGAAGGTCATCTGCGCGAGAGACCGGACAGTTCGATACGTAGTGTCTAATAAAACTGGCCACTCTGGGAGAAAACATCAGCTCCTTAGGTTGTCCAGCGCAGTTTTCTGTCCAGTGGTAAGCATCACGGATCAACTCTAACATGCCGTACTGCAATGACTTTGGAAATAAAAACACAATTTCCCTTTATTCCTAAGCCGCCTTCCGCGATGAACACACCATGAATATGAAGGAACTGTAAGAGATCTATCGGCAGCCTCCGGTAATCCTCATGGTACCCTTCCACAATGGTTTGCTTTAAATTTGTGCGGACTGCATTCTCGTTGCAATAGCACAGTGATTGCAAATGCTATACGAAGACAGCGCATTGTTCTGTTGCGTGGATGGCGTTCCTCTTATTCTCAATTTGCATTGGAAAGATGGGCCCCCTACAACGCATTCTCAATATATACTTGAGCTCCAGGTTGACAAAGTATCTCTAACGCATCTTTATGGATTTGAATGAGCGTTCTATGCAGATAACATAGCACAACATAAAGTTGTTGTTCCGACAGTCTTCACCAACTGTTTGTAATTAGTGTAGACTATGGTTTTTCGGACAGAAATGTAACCGTTAAATCGTTCAACTGTGTAAGTAAATGCAAATATGGTTCTCTCGATTCGTGCATAAGGACACGCGGTTGGTGTCAGAATACGGCTTCGAAAATACAGCGGTTTTTCATCGTGCATTAACCCTGCCACCGACTCAATGCTGACTGCTGTCGCACGGTACTTAGGAGCAAATAAGCTGGGATTGGGGCAGTCATGCTGAACTTGTTTGATCTCTTTAAGGTTTGCTGTTCCTCATGTCAGTGTTAATCTTCACCTTCGTCAGTCAGTTTATGGAAGTGTGTCCTTACTTTGGTTAACCTCGGTTAAAAATGGTTAATGTGGCTGAGCATACCTTTCAAACAACTGAATCCTTTTGTTTCAGCAAGGTGTGGAAGTTCTTTAACTCCTCCTACATTTTGCGGATCCGGCTTAAGAGATCGGACATGAAAATGTGTACGCGAAGTACTGCCACCGGTTTACGCAGTTCAAACTTGTGACGTTTCAACAAGATGTTCTTCCCGGTGCAGCGTGGAAGGAATCGATGAAGCTTAAGGTCATGCTTCTTTGCACTAGTGCTGACTATTAGCACGTTGTCAGTTAGGCAGCTGATTCATGGCAAATCATATAGCTGTTGTACTGTGTGTTTTGGAGATAGCTCACCGTGGACTTCCAAGCCGAATGGCGATCGTAGCCATCGAAATTGCCCGAATGGTGTGCCGAATGTTGGCAGATAGCTCAATTCGTTTTCCAACTTGACCTACCAACGCGCAGCAGATCGACCTTCGTGAAAAATCCCCTTGTTGACAATGCGGGAAATATATCATCTAGTGTCCACAGGCTGTGGTCTTTCCTCCTGAGATCGGTGGTAAGCGGTCTCGGGTCAATGAACATCCGTAAATCACAGGAGATCTTAGCAACGATTGCCACCTGGTTGTCAGTTCGTCAGCCTTTGTTATAGCGCCAGTGCAACTAGACGCTTCAAGTGTTAGGGAAAATTAATTCTTCGCAGCAAAACCCCAAGTATGGTAGACTCGTTTAGCTGTGAATGTGCGCACCCGTCGAACCACTCCACAACTTTTACTTGAACGCCGAGATAATGATTGATGATACCTTCGACCGCCTAACACAAATTTTCGAAGTGTTCATAGTTAAAAGAATCAAAACCAATCAGCTAACTGGTATTATTGCTCAAGGTGAGCTCCAATTCTCCTTACGCAATGACAAACTGGATTTGGTGTTTCGTTCCATCCATGAGATTAATGTTCTATTACACGATTGTGCCCTTCGGCTGAAGTTTCGACACGCATTCTCTCCCACATTCAAAGATGATGTTATGGCTTGTCGCACCGCACTTCAAAGCAGTGCATCTCAACCGAATGCTTACCGCAATTCATTTGTCCAAATGGAGAAGAAGGTTGTTTTTAAACAAGCAGTGTCCTATAGATGTCCCTTTATTATATACTACATTTTACTGATGGACACTTCCTGGACAGTCAACAGCAATTAGCTTCATCCATTGGCCGAATTGCTCAGTTCTACCTCTTCGAATAACTCAAAGCTTCTTTTCCATGTAATGAAGCCACAGAATTGTTTCCTTCAATTGACTGGAATCTGGTATATCTAACAATGATGACCCTAATAAAACTGCTCTGAGCCGTGTGGGCCAATAGCAAAATCGAAGCCAGCCAAATGAGAGAGTTGCTGGAATTCTACGTTAAGACACATTTCGGTTTTAATTGCCAAAGTTAGTCGAGAGTCGATCTCTGCATTGTTTCCCGAAATAGTGATACAATCACTAGAAGAAACCGCACTCTTTGTTACCAAGTCTAAACTCTGGATAGGTTACGTATGGTGTTTGACGTAGCCGCAATTCAGCAAGCTTGCTCAGGAGGCCTTGTGCATTGGCGCACATGCAAGAAAGTTCATCTACTCTCAGTGCTGCGTCAGAGGACGTGTTTTGGGTGCGCTAACGCGCCGACTGGTGAGAGACCGGTCACTAACCGTTTTCTGGACCCAGCAGGGACGAACTGGTATGTGGCAAATCCAGTGTTTCCTTAGTTTGCTTTTTGGACATCTATGTGTGTAAGGTATAGGGGTGATCAACGATTTCCGTCGCTAGATGAGTAATGTCATCCGAACGTTTGTCGCGACCGGATTAGACTGAAATGCTCATGTCTTGTGTTTGCTTAGAGGACAAAGCTCAAACGGCAGCATGTTGCGATGCACGCACTAGCACACCGATGTCCGTGTTGACCTCTTGCTGGGTTGAAGCACTATTGTCCCAATCCTTGAGCTGTACCCGTTGTAACTTGGGGAGCTAGGCAGCTTCGAAATCGATTGAGCTACAATGTGTTCCAAGGACAGGGCCTTCCGAATGTGGCACCACTCTCCCTGGTTGTAGGTAATCGTTTTGCGTTCACCGTATCCCCTTGCCTCGGCAACCCGTTGAAATAGCACGGTTCTGGCTACGAATCCCTTCCGGTAATTCAGTGAAGTAATGGTTTATAACGGGTATAAAAGTAAATGCTTGACAATTCCGTAGAATAGCTGTGGAAATTATAAGATAAAAACACTGCCGAGATAAGAACGCACAAGCTACCTGACCCACACAGAAATTTGCAGTACCATAGGCACGAGTATTCCTGACTGGAAGTTAAGAGAATTCTGATTCCGCCCACTGATTGTTCTGCACTGATGGTCCCAGGCCATATCACGTGGTGTAAGTGTGTCAGTGCATCGTCAAGTCCTTTTTGAATATGTATAATCTGGAGGGCACTAATTACTTGTGCTGGGAGGAGTTATAGAAGGCTCTCACTCGGAAGGTGAAAACGTTTCGTCGACATTCCAGTCGGCTGTGCTGATTGGCCAGCTAAAACGGGCGGCTCCTCTGAGATGTGTTATGAATGTGTTTCAAATGATGGCGCCATAGGTGGTTTAGGTTTTTTAGTATCTAATACACCCTTAAGAGATCTCCCCTTAGACACCGATAACATCCGCTGCACATTTTCATAGTTTTCAGCCTGATTGGGTAGGAAAGGTGGAGCAAACCTTTGGCGTTCTCTGTCGCCCTGCGTTGTGCAGCACTGAGCGCGATATGGCGGTACTTCTGCCAGAGTTGCCACACTGGAATAGCTTATTCCTTGGTTCATTCACTGGGTTCAATGAGCAGCAGTGAGATCCAGTGTTAGCTGCTTCTCTTCCCTGTCTTCCAAGAATTGCAGGTACGATTGTTGTGGCATCACTCATAAAGCCTGCATGATCCTAAGGTACTCAGTAGGTAAGGGTCTAACGAAGGTTTGAAGCTTGATTCTGCCTCCGCATTAACAATCGGGTCCGGCAGTCGGTTCCAGTCATTAACTACTCGAGTAAAGAGAGCAATATCTGCACGGACTTTGAACCTCATCAGTTTAAACAGCTTCCAGCTGTGACCTCGATTTGAACTGTCAATTCTTAGCTGCAACACTCATCTCAGCTCATCTCCCAATTCTCCTAGAAAGCGTCTAGTATAGATGATGTCTCAACGAAGTCGGTTTCACCTACGCGCCAAGCATTTGCGGAACGATTAAAGCGTTGAATTTTCCGCACGCCCTGCGGAAGAGGCCGAAGGGTTTATTTGTCTTCTTCGAAACCTCCTCGATTTGTTTCAAGCAACCATGATCATCTTTCACAAAGACGCGGAAATCGCACCCATGTAAAGCCCACTGTATAATTTGTGGTTCTGCCAGTAGATGTTGGTACTCTGATGGGATATCCTCAAAACATTCCACTTAGCAGCGCTGAACTGGAATATGTTTTCCCTGGACCATGTGTGCGCTGTATCCATATTATTTTGTAAGGTTATGTGATTCACCCTTGTGGAGATAGCATACCATATCATTAGATCAGAAGCGAACAATAGAAAATTTGAACAAAACACCTTCACCGGATCATTTATAAAGACCAGGAACAGGCGGAGCCCTTGTACTGAGGCATGCGTTACGCCGCACTAGAATCCGAATGGGTTTGGTACAGTGCTGCGAACCCTCAATTACAGATGACGCTGAAGGAGAAAGCTGTCTATCCATCCCTGGAGGGGATCGCCGATTCAGTGCTTCTGAAGCGTGTGAAGCAGAATGCGATAGTCTAGATGGTCGAATGCCTTTGAGAACTCCATATCGACGAAATCTACTTTTACACCAGCATCCAAGAGTTCCGTCCAATATGCACGAGCTGGCTTGCCAAACAACCTCCTCGTGGTGCCAGCTGGGTGGTTCGGGATTATTCCGTTCCAGCGAATGGTTCGGCGGCAGTGTTCCAGGACGTGGTGGGTTTTCGCCTGGCAAGCGTTCTCCCTATAAAAAGCCACGTATGTCCGTTTAACAACACTGTGACGTGGCAGATGGGACTCGCCACTAAATAAAGTCACTGCCACTTGCCTCTCTCTGAGGGGCATTGTAATCCATGGATGTGTTTGGTCTCTGGTTCTATGAGGTCATAAAGGCGCATGAATCAATTGTTTGGTCACCGGCTCCCAAAGGGCTGTGATATCTTTGTATCGCCCCACTGCTTTGTAGGTTAGATTCTGGATAAAACGCTCGGGGTGGGGCCCCCTAAGATAACCCTCTACTTCGGTCTAGGCAACCGGGTAGTATCTCGCTCACTGACGAATCATGGATGGATCATCCCCTTCCCTCCCCCAATAAAAATCATCAAAAATCTCAAAAACTACAAGTGGAAAAATGGACAACAAATTTGGCTGTTTTCTTTCTTCATTTAATCTAGCCCTGTTTTTTCTATTCCGCCACAGTTTTGAAGGCACAATATCTGTACACAGACTGTGATATACATATATATATATATATATATATATATATATATATATATATATATATATATATATATATATATATATCCTGGTTATTCGTGCAGAACCGGTTTTGGCGAAATCCGCGCTGCTCCAGAGTGAGAAATTTGTCACTCTCCAGGTATCCCATGAGTGTCTCAGCGACAATGGACTCATTGATCTTGGAGATCACCGGAAGTAGTGTTTTCGGTTGATAATTCACTTGTGCGGCAGGGCTACCACTTGTGTGGATTGGAGTGATGATCCCATGCTTCCACAATGTGTGAAACTGCATCCCGTTAAGATATCATTGAAAGAATATTGCGGACGGTTCAGCTAAACACACGGCAGACACTTTCCGTCATTTGCTAATGACGCCTACATCAAGGGAGCTGTACTCATGCAATACATCAGCTGCTTCAGTATATGCGTAATGCTAAAGGACATGTGGTTAGGCCTGCTTTGCTTGTTTACGTTTACTTTATGAATATCCGGAAAGACGCGGACGGAACAGGACCTACTACAGAAACGAGTTGTGCATTTCAACACGACTTGGAAAGGGCTGTGTTCACCGTAGTGTTTTGAGTTTGGGTGACAGGTGGTCCGTACCATGTTGCAGGACTTAGCTACAGCATTTAGGATGCCACATTGGAAGTGCCCCTGGCACAGGTCATCAGGTCGTTTTCCTTTTATGGAACTTGACGTCAATTTTCGAACATTGGTGCAGCTTACTGACTGCATACTATTTGGTCCCTTAATGACTGTTTGTGTAGCTTGGGACTGGCTGTCCCGAAGATCTGCATGCAATCAGTGGTGACGGTTTACATGCATTTTCGCTCCCTTTATATATCTGGATCCAATGAAAGGTACTGAGGACAGAATTGCGTGGATATCTTTGGCAGTAATCCCACTCCAACCAACACTCGTGCCAACATCCTTCCGATATATCGGAACAGTTTGAAGGATAGACGAGGCCCTGGTCATATTCTACTCTGATTGCATGTGGTTGATTCAAAAGTATTTTAGCCGCTGGTACTATTGACACACTGACATTCAAAGCTATAGATGACTCGTTTTAAACAGAAGCCTAGCCTCCTTCGTCAGGCCTGAAGCGGAGCCTGAGAGGACTGGAACCCAGTTCTAGTGCATACCTGCTCTAGGACCCGAAAGACGACATAGGTAAAATATTTGTGTCGCTTGCACGCGGAACCTTTCCCCATCTGATATCCAGCCAAATAAGTACTTCTAGATGAGAGTCTTCTCTTGTGACCACGAGATAACCTTTTCCGCTATCATACAGAGTCCGAACCCACAAGTTTCCAAGCTCAAGGAAGTCTTGATAAGTGTTAAGTCCCTGGTTACAACGTTCTAGGATACTCACATTTTTCGGGAGTTGTAAACCGGAAGCTAACACTTGGTGAGTTTGGAAATTCCTGGGCTTGGACTCTGTATGACAGTGGAAAGCGTGATTATATGATCACAATGGGGCATCTTTTCCCAGAATATTTGCTTAGTCTAATGCCAAATGGGGAGTATTCCAGAAGTACAAATACAAGTCACAACAATGTGAGGAAGTACGAGACCAGGTGCAGGGAACAGTGTCACTTAATGTAACATGGCAACAGGGGCTGTTCACTTTAGACAACTGATTTGGTTATGCGAACAAGATCGGCTCTTATTCAACAAGTCCAATTGACGATCCATAATGTGGATGAGGAAAGCGAAAGCTAAGCTACCATTTCACGTATCAACCTCGTGGAATCCCGCCTTTATGCCGACTATGTATACGTGGAGAGAGTTACTAAGCTATGACACACATAAAATGAGATCTTGAAAGTATGACTGCGCAACACCCCATAGTTGACACATTCAGGGAAGCTTGCTACCACGGCTTCCACGTCTTACCCCTTTGAGTTTATACTAAATTTAAAGGGTACATGAAACCGTGGATAGTGTAGCGCCACCCGTTCTCTGGTCAATCTGTACTCGTCCTGTAGTTGTTCACAGACGCAGTGACAGGCGGAGCTGAGAACGATTGATATGAATTGCTATCACTGTTACCAGTACTAGTACTACGTTAGGTTTAACACAAGTGCTTGAGACTTTTATGTTAGTATTCGTACTGAAATCAAGCAATGTCTTCAACTAAGGTGCCACATAGTTGATGATGAAGAACTTACTTGGAAGTTAGACAGTGCAAGCGCCAATTGAACCAGTTCCTCTGAGTCAGCCAACGGAGGCACGATGACTGAATCGTAGGGTTGAAGACCGTTCAAGTAGTCCCAGCCATACAAATGCTCGACATGAAACTGGCGTACCACAACGGAGGTTAAATCGCTTCCGTTATACTTTTCATCATGTTCGGAGTGCTTCGCTATGTGTTTGATCATTCTAAGCCAGATAAATGACCGGCACGATGGGACAGGATCCTTCAACAGACCTTTAAACCATAAAGATGACTGGACGGAATGATCTGATATCAGTTTAAAGTGACAGGTGGTTCAAAGCAGTGTGACGGGTAGTTAGTGTCACTTATCAGTGCCCAGTCTATGGTAATAACTACTATACATTGTTCAAACCAGTACTCACTTTGTAGAATGTCTAGAGCGCGTGGCAGTGTGCACAATTGCCCAATCAAGTGCACCGCACCACCTATGTGGATACTTACAAGCACTATACAGAGGACCAAACCTGATGATAACTTATGATCTTTGACACTATCACCGGTTTCAATTATGCTGAAGACGGAGTAAAGACTAACTTGTACAGCATACATCATACGCTGCATAGTTACGAAAATCTGGGTATTGTGAAGTGCACTGTTTTTTAATAGGTGAATACTGAATACTGAATACTGGTTCGAAGTAGCGAGTAGAGCTTTATCTGTGTGGCTGCATCATTCGTCGCTCTTGGACATGTATTCCTTATTTATCGTTCCGCTCTCTATATTTTGTCTCTGCAAAGTGTTTGTCTAGGAGCTTCTTAAATTCGGACACTGAGTTCGCCTCTACTATGTGCTGCGGCAGGTAGTTCCAGACATTCACCACTCTGCGCTCGAAACAGAGTTGGTGAGCGACCCGCTTCAAATCCGGTACGACAAGCTTATACCGGTGTCCTCGTGTGCTGTTTCGTGTGCGCAGATGAAGCAGTGGTGTCAACATAGGGTAATCACCCAGATGTAATATCGGGTGCGACATGATGAAGTCAACCCGCATTCGACGATAAGCTACGGTGTACAGCCCTAGTTTCTTACATCGGGCTTCGTATGGCATACCTCGTAAGTTGAGAATCAGCCTGGTGGCTACATGCTGCACCCGTTGAAGCTTTTCTACCTCGCCCAGTGTGATGGGACAATACGCGGGAGAGCCGTACTCTAGCATTGGTCGTATTATCGAGCCGAAGAGGCGAGTAGCACTCTCTTGGACCAAGTGCTGAAGCTGCGCCTGAGGGCCCAAAGCATCCGAAGGCTGTTTTGGTACAGCCTATTCGTGTTGTCAGTGGACTTTAGGTCGCAGAGTGAGAGTACACCGAGTTCGCGCACGAAAGGCGCGGGATGCAACGGTTGACCAACCACTGTGTACGTTCGGCTGCGCTCACACTTACCCAACCTCATAAATTGCGACTTGGCATGGTTGATCGGAAGGTTAACCTCTGCAGACCATGTCGAGAGGCGGTCGAGGTCCTGTTGAAGTAAATCACAATCATTGAGTGTGCGGATTACTTTCCACACCTTCAAGTCATCTGCGAACAACGCACAAGGTGATTGGAGTAGCTGAGGCGCATCGTTTACATGGATCAGAAACAATATCGGCCCCAGTACAGTGCCTTGGGGCACGCCGCTGCTCGATGGATACCAGTCAGTTAGATGGTTGTCCACCTGGACCCTCCACTTTCGATCAATAAGGAAATTGCTGATCCATTTGTGCAGGGAAGCACCAACACCGCACATCCTCAGCCTGTCGAGGAGCACTGCATGATTTGCTTTGTCAAAAGCCATACTGAAGTCAATGTAAATGACGTCGACCGATTGGCCTTGGTTTAGCGCTTGCAACCATTCGTGCCTCGTCAACAGCAGGTTGGTGATGCACAAGCGACCTTCCATAAAACCATGCTGTGCGAAGGTCAACAGGTTTTTCGACTCGAGAAGCTGCAGAAGGCTCTTCTTCACGATCTTCTTGAGCATCTTTGCTAAAACAGCAGTCAGGCAGATCGACCGGTAGTTATCCACTTTGCTTGTGTTACCACCTTTCGGTATAGGCTTTACGACTGAGCATTTCCAGCCGTCCGGTAACAGTCCAGTGGATAGTGACCTGTTAAACAGTTCAGTTACAGAAGGCGCCATGATGGCCGATAGGGACTTGAGGATCAGTGGGTGTATACCATCTGGCCCAGCAGGCTTCGTCCCGTCAAGAATTGCTAGAAGCTTTCGTACATCCTCAATATTGCAGTCCAGACTGTTAAGTTCGGCTGGAGTGGTACTCGTCGAACTCGTTACAGACACCTGATCACTTGCAAATCCGGAGGCGAAATGCGCCGCCAATGCGGACGCACGATCTGTACTCGAGGTTAGGAGCTGTCCTTCTGAGCCTGCTAACACTGGGACATTGGCTACAGGTCTCAGTCGCCGCTTCACGTATGTGAAGATCCTCTTGGGAGCAGTTTTTGCAGCGACTGCAAGCTCCTCTACGAAGCTTCTGCGTTTTCTTGTTTTCGCGTTGTTGCAGCGATTTCGCTGTACCTTGTATGCATTGTAGTCCTCATCAGAGCCAGATAACACAAACGTGTTCCATAGCCTGCGTCACCGTCGGGCCATTTTGTTGTACTCTTTGTCAAACCAATGTGGTTTGACTGGCCCAACTTTCCGAAATTTGAGGGGTACAAATCGGGCGCACAACGATTTCACTCCCTCTTTAATGATAGTCCAATAGGTTTCAATAGATGAATCCTGTGGTAAAACCAGTCCATGTGGCTCGCTGCTCGAATGAGGCTATTAAAGTCCGCCTTTTAATAGTTGAAGGCTGACTCTAGTGGGGGAGAATACGTTAGTGGTAGTTCCAAGCTGCCTATGATCACCGAGTGGTCGCTCGCTCCCAAAGTATAACGTCGCAAGTTGTGGTGAAATGAAGTGAACTCAGTCCAACTTGGAATATATACCAACGCAGAATTATTACGAAACCTCTAAAATAGAAACCCATGGGTAGTACACCGAAGGTGATCGTGTGTGTTGGAAACATTGTCATACAATGGAGACAAACAAGATGCTGTCTGTGACACCTAAATCGTGACTGGCCATCAACTATTATGGTTCTGTGCCAGAACACAAAACCAGTATAGAGGGAAAACAGGCGATGACAAGTGTGTTGGAATTGTGACATCCCGTTTCAATCTATTGTCATTAGAGCTTCTAGCTTCTTGTTGTAGATGCTTGCATCGGGTTGGGGAAGAGAACTTTTCGTGCAACCCCTACACCGCATCCAGCGCACATCCTAGAATGTGCGGTTAGAGGAAGGTGTTAGGGGAAAAGCGCACGTTTTCCAGCATTTCCGTCTGCCATTTTTGAACTTGTCTTACAAGGCACTTCGGTTTGTCGGACCAGCCGCTAAATCTCGTTGATACCACTTATTCGTCTGCTTGGGAACCAAACATGCTGCATTTGCTCAATCGGTAGCCATTTTGCTATTTTACTTTTCTACAACTTATCAACTATACCTTCAAATAAATTCGTTTTTGAAACATTCGGTTGAACAGTAAATAATGTTGCAGAATTTAGATCGGAATTGTCGAGGTGGATTGACAAGTGAAAGGCAGTTTGTAGAATGGTATTTATGAGAATTGAATGCTTTTCTGCAGTTGGCTTACTTTCGATTGCGTATATTAGTTCCAATGAGATGCCGCAAAGTGCCCATAGCTTGCAACATGACATTCGACTTGAAGCGGACTCTCGTGCGGACTTCAATGTTTCTTGTATCGTGTCCTTCCGATTGATGAACGTTTGGCTGTATAGTTTAGTGTTTAAAGCAGGAAGGAAATGAATTTTTCAAGGTATCAGTAAACTTTACCACACGTGATTTTTCCACCATAACGCCCCATTGAGTTATATTATGCACACCTGGAACCATATATGGTATTAAAAACAGTCAAGCAAGAACAGCAACTTCATTGATGGCGCAACTGGATTCATGGGAACCACCTGCTACATCATTGCTTGACTAGAGGAACATATTTACGCCACTACTTACACAAAATAATAATGCACCAGGTGTAGGCAATTCCTGTGTCGGACACGATGAAATGGCGAGTTCAATGTAGGGGATATATGAGTGCCACATACCGCAAAATCATTATCCAAACTGCGGACCCCTTCATTGTGCATTCTCCTTTTCCAAGCTGCCAACCCTATCCTTGTGTACTTTGAGAACTGCTCAAGCACTGTGGGAACTCATCTCACTGCGTTTCGTCCCCACTGTTTCAAGTGTCCATACACTTACACTTAGCACTCTTGTGAGTGCACTCATGCTCGTTACCTCTGACATCGCAAGTTGTAATCCCAGATACCCTTGCACACGTTTTAACCTTGATGTGAGCATGTGTACAACCCATCCATCCTTACCCTCCGAGCTGGTGTATCTTCTCACTGTGTTCCTCGTTTTATAAATACCCCTTATTAAAGCCAACCTAGTTGCACGTGTCACATCGAAGCTATCTTCCTTGGCTGTTATGATAGACTTGCAGCTAGTTGTTACTAAATTGTGCCGGAAGCGCAGATTACTGGAGTGCGTGCCAACTTATTTTTATAGTCTACTTTGCAGTTAGTAGCGTTTTCTGATTCCCAGATTGGTTTTAAACCGATACCGAAGGAGACGAGTTGATCAATCCTTTCCAAGCGAGTCTGTCGATTAAAAGGCACAGTCTCCTCTGCGGAGTTGCCTCGTTAGACCATGTATAACACTTGTTGGCTGGAGCGCAGTGAGTGTATCAGCAAGACATTAATGGATAACGAAAGGCAGAATAGCGCCGCTGTGGGACGCCTGCCCTATCCGCTTCACATGGATAACCACAAACTACAAGAGAAGCGACCAACGCCATGAGGTAGCAAGTCTCCCCACGCTTCAAGAGCACACCTTCACCTCTTATGCTGCACAAGCAAGTTATACCACCACCAGGGCTTAGCGATATCTCGTTTACGGCCGCAGTTGTTTTGAAGAGATAATCTTCCTTGGACCATCATACCTCTCGTGGTACTGAGGGCATACACCAAAAAGCGCCAAAGTAGGCTGCTATAAATTTAGATGGACCATTCTCTCAGTTTTATCCAGCGATGTCTTGACGAGATACTGATTCCAACGACGCTGGCGCGCGGAATCAGCTGTCCCATTCGTAAGAGTGAAGTCGAACAGTTAAGGTCAGCCACCACCCGATAACACTCCTTCAGGTGCTCGCAAAATTCATAGGGGCCATTATAGCCGAAGTGTTCATGGGTTATTTGGAAAGATGCAACTTCATGGCACTAGGACAACATGGATTCAGCCAAAACCGGCCTTGCACCACAGACCTGCTACTAGTGAAACTTTCAACAGCTGTGTCGGAGTTGCCGCAGTTTATTCCGATTACTCAAAGACGTTAAACCATATGCACCACTACAATCTTCTTTACAAGCTTCAGAGCTTGTAATTGGTGATCCGATCTTAGGCTGGATAGGCAACTTCCTCCTTCAACGACACCGGATTGTGAGATTTCGCAGCACCATTTCTGACCCCATTGAGGTTCAGTGCGTGTGGTTCAGTGCGTGGTCCATGGCTATTCTTGATCTACATGAAGGATCTCGCAAGACTTCTCATCCATCTGTTTACTCTTCGATTATGGCCCCAAAATACGGCGGGTCATCTGAATAACAGGTAACGACAGCACTGCAGGATGATCTTGACCGAGTTTACGAATGGGCGGCTCAGAATCTGCTCTAACTCAACGCAAACAAGTTTAAGCCACTAAGCATGGGCTGTCAATTCACATGCGAGTAAAGACTGGAGGATCAAAATTCAAATTCTGCAGTCTACTTCTATTGTATACGATCTAGGGGTGATGGTATAAGACCAACTTGGCTATTCAAAGCAGGTCGAGAAAACGTTCAAAAGTCAACAAAGACTGTCCTACTCCGGAAGGCATTCGGACGATTTGACCCTTTCATCTTCTGTCAGATGCTGGACGCCTACATATGGCCCTATTCCGAACAATCCCCTTCATACCTGGCAGCTCTGGCAAATGCATAATCTCGTCGCACCCGAAACTCCGCAACGGAGGGTGGTTTTATCTCCCTTATCAACTGAGATTGAAAAACTGAGGATCTACAGTGGGCAAGCTCGGCGCTTAGGTGGTGATTTAATAATATCAGATCTTGAGGAACCCCAACCATGTTTGTCATCACCTTCTGACATTGATCCACAACTCCATAGTGAGAGGCCATTAGCTAAACTTGGTCACACGCTATAATCGGTTAGAATGCCGCCGGAATTTCTTTTCACTACCTGTGTGCCAATCTTGGAGTGCCCACCCCGTTTACAATGTTTAATTCCCCACGGTAATAATCTTCAAAAACGTCCTGATCATACACTCAAACACTTGCATTACGCTATACAGCCCTTGCTGTCTGGGAATCAGCGTAACACAAACAATCGATGTGCTCAATTAAACTTTCTATGGCTTTAATTCGTTGACGCTACTTTTTTTCCTAATCGTTCACCCTTACAACCTATGGAACATGTTAGGCAATGGGTTTTTGACCCATTCTACGGTGAAATGCGCTTTGTGTAACCCCATCATCTTGGTTGCTGAATGAGTACTTGAAAATGCATCCTTTGGTCACATCTGACAGACAGATAAAATGGGGGTTTTCCAGTGCATCCAACCTCATCATCATCATCATCATACACGTTAGCTAGAGGTGGGGAACACCTCAGCTACTGTGCCGCAATACACAGAAAAAAGGGGAGAAAAAAGGATTCAACTGCTGCAAGCCGGCTGAGCTACCGGTAACGGATGGGTATCGTTCCGGTAAGATACCCGCCAGCTACTGTGCATCAAAAAATTATTATGCAAAATTATATAAGGCTAAATAATGAGATCGTGGTTGGAGGGTGAGGCTAAGAGGGATGGGGTGGCACAAAGAAACTCACAGCACGAACGCCATTGTGGTCGGCTCCTAGCCATATCAACAAGTGTGTCCAACCCAACGTGTTCATCATGTTTCGGACCCCAACCAGGGAGCCGAGACGCTCCAACCGAGGCCAGCTCAGAAGTGAGAGCCTTCATTTCTCTGGACCAAGTCATCGCTTGTCCACCCCTCCTCGCACCCAACCTAGGGCTAAACGTTACAACGGTGACAAATGCTAGTTACCTTTTCATTAGCGTGACAACCTTGATGGGTTTATTGCCATGCGGATAAAAAGGCGATGCGTAGGCAACAACACAAATTCCCCGTCCTGGTTTGATGGCATTTCTCGTCAACTGTACATTTACACGTTGCTGTTTGCGGACAGAATTGGGGAAGTAAAACCAGGTTAAGAGTGATTTGGTTACATACTTGTTGTATATGACTCCGCAGTACGTTCCGCGTGTGATTCTGTATAAGCATTTCCACTTCAAAGGAGCTAATCCTACTTGTCTGATAACCGAACAAGCAACTTAAACTAATACGAATGACCTTACGAGATAACGCTGTGTACACCTTTAAAGAGAGAGCAACACTTAAAATCTGGGTAGTTCAGATACGTTTCAAGGAAGCGGATTGTTGATGCTTGCTCCAGAGCAAATCAAATCCACTCTGATGAGGTGCCGCAATCCAAAAACGTGAGGGGGGCGGCACTCCAAATTGAAGACTTAGTTCCTTACCACTACACTAGGGGTCAGCAAACCTTTTCACAGCAGGCCGGATAATTGTAAAAAATGACTAACGCGGGCCGGACGACTAAAAGAATGATTAGCATGGGCCGCTTAATCATTGTGCACAACACTTGTAAACCAGAACAAAAGGTTTGAAAAAAACTAAAATGACGACGCCAAGTGTCCACTTGCCATTTTACTGAAGGTTTAAATAAAGAATATATGAAGGAAAAACAATCGTTTACTTACAAACAAATTAAAGAGCCCATTGAAACACCAGCAAGTACGGCTCTTCAGAGGTACACATAAACTTCATTGCTACCCTAGGTATTAGCGTATATAACCTAAGAATGCTTTCAATATATATATATATATATATATATATATATATATATATATATGCGTGTGTGTGCGTACAAACATCAACGTGCTTGGAAGCCTTGAGCAGGGACATTTCCACTGGGGCCAGATGAACAAACAATGCCGGAAGTGGATACCGGTACTACTGACATGCCTTCAGCTAAACCACGATGTAGGCTCCTCAACCAGTTGCGTTTCCAGCGCAGTTCCGTGCTAGAAACTTGCAATTCGTTCCAAATAGTTAAAAAAGACGTGATAAACAAGATATATGCCTAACCGAATGGCATCTTAATAAGCGGCGTTTCATTTGACACGTGCTTCAACGGAGCTGACCAATGGAAAATTGTGGCACAAAGGTGTGCTATAACTAAACACAGTAGCGTGCACAAATGAATGGGTTTCTTGCGCGATCACTTACATTAACGTTCCAACGATATGAAGTCACTATATGTACGGTAGTACGGCATCGCATGTGCCTGCCATGAGCTGGCCCACACTACTGTTCAAACAGTATGCTGTCACAGACAATATGACATGCAGTGTTACCTGCAGCGTTCCATACGCTTTACCAAGCAACTTCGGGTGCAGTCGGCTGGCCGGATGAATTTACGGATCCGGCTCACAGGACGTATTTTGATTCCCACTGTGCTACACCATACGTCGCTTGCAAAGCTGAATGGATTAGAACTGTAGGCGTCAGGCGCCAACAGTCCCCGTTCATTTCATCTCTAGTTCTCATTGTCTACTTGAGGAGTTCAGACAGACAGATGCCGGATTACAGCCGAAACATCAAGCCCTACAAAGTAACCCACTTCTTGTTAAGATGCACCTTTGATCTCCTGGAATTTATATTTGAAAACGACCGTTATAATATGGTTTCAGAGGGATGGGTAAAGAACCAGTTGATGTAAAGTTGGGCTTGGATGTTGATGTATTTATTTGACATTCCCTTTTGACGTACAAATTTGTCCGACCAGATGAATTGGTAGATAGTTGGTGTGACATATTTTACCGAGGGAGTAAAATAATCGTGAACAATTGAAACATGAGTTGCGAGCCTCTTACAGACACACATAAAAAGTCATCTCCATTGATCCAGCTGAAGTGGACTATTCCATTGATTTTGTCGTCCGTCGCAATGCCAATTACGGCCTCGGTGACGACGATGAGTATATGTCGGTCTTCACTATCAAACCTGACCCGCGTGGCGACACTAGTTAGACTGACCGGATCAAGAATGCTCCTCATGTGTTCAACACCACACGTTAAAGGTGTGTACAAGCGGCCCGAGGAGAACAACTGTCTTTTTCATTTAGAGCTCATCAGCAACGAATGATCGCTTTAGCAGGAAAAATCAAAAGCGCAGACAACACCAGTATGAGACCGGGATGGTTACTTTTGGATCGAAGCGAGTGCCCGCAGTCAACGTGATCAAGTTTCCAGTTGCGACCAGTGAATGTTGTCATTTTGTAAATTGGCTCATATTGCACTGATTCAGTGTAGCATATAGCCAGTTGACAAGCATTTCACGCAATGAACAGAGCCTCGCACCAGCAGCTAAGGTGTATCATTTTCCGTTTCGAACTTGTGCACATTGAAAACGATTGGTTAAACAAGCTAAATCCTTCAATCTGCAACTGATTTGCATGCCAATTAAGTAAATGCATCGGTTAATAATGCCTGTACCTATACGAATGACTGGTGAAGCATGAATTGTTTGAGTAACCCTTTTTGGAATGGCAAGCGATCTTAGGGCTAAATTCAAACGATAAATTTCGCTTCTCGTTCCCACGCATGATATAATCTAAGAACAAAATATGTCGATTCGCTGCAGGTTGACAGATGGTAATCATCACTGACGAGTCGGGTGAGCTGAGGAGCCGACAACAACAATGCATGTGACCAATCATGTCGCTTGATGAGTTACCTATGGCCTGCACTTGGTCATTTTAACCTGGACTCACGAGATTTTATCGCTCCAAGATGAAGTGTAAAATGCTCACGATGTCTCACCTCTGCGCCGAAGCTGATCAAGTAGCCCGCAATTTTATTTCGATCGATTATATGTTCCACTACTGTCGACTACTTTGCACCATCGTTTAATACCCAGATCGAATGTCCAGCTAGAGGCCTTTGGGCTATTATGCAGTGAAAGTGTCAGTAGTTAATACCTTAAGTTTCAATCGCCGTCCTGTTTCGCTGCATTACGCACCTTCCCTAGTATCATCTAGGAAACCACTAAGGTGTCAGTACGTAGACACTTTACAGGAATGGTGTCCGTCGAAGTCGCCAAGAATAGCTGAATTACCAGTATATTCAATGAAAAATACAATATTATGATAAGAATAGAAATCAGGTGAATGCGTATCAATCGCATCGTGTCACATCATGTCAGCATCAGCTCGGACAATAATGCCAGAAGATAAAACCTGAGAATTTTTTCAACCAAAAATGCTCACGTATGTCTTACCGAATTTCCTCAAGGGCGGTACGTTCCGCACATTGTCCGACCAGCCGCTCTTCCATTTCTTGCCACCCTCGGATACGCGTGGCAAGTTGCAAGCACAGAGACGGTGTGGTCTGGTCGAATGGGTCCAAATTGCTCGCCCCACGTTCCTCAAGAGCATGCAATGTCCCACGGATTAGCGAGTGGACAACCGTTTCCTGAAAGTTCAAGAGCCACCTGGCAGCGGAATGGCACCAAGGCAGTGTTCGGTTGAATTGGATGACTTCCGCGAATCGATCAGTGAAACCTGTCATCTGCAAAAAGGGGTTGAAAGCATAAAGAGAACAGGATTGGTCGTGATCACCCTCACAAATCGTGTGCGGCTGTACGACCTTTGGCTACTACATTCCGAACCACAATCAACATGTCTGGTCTGGCCAAACTGAACTAATCCATAAGCCTTAAGTAGACTGGGAGTTCCACAAGGACGGACACCATGCATTTAAACTGCATGGTAGTCAAGTGCCCATCGGTGCAGAACTAGAGCTGCGTTGTGTCACAGCCTACTCTTGAGCCGCATCGATCACTATGGGCAGAGTTAACGCGGATCTGGTGGCGAACTTTTCGCCCACTCGTCCCTACAATGGCTTTGTGGCCACATCACGCAGCAGCTTATGATGTTAATGTGCTCATGGTTTGCCTAACCAAACCAGTCGGACGGGCGCGCTCAAGCCCTTTTCATGCAAGCCCTATTTTGATGCTACCAATTCGACGACTACCGTTATCGCCTCCTGAATGTGTGCCATTTCGTCCCTGTGTTCGCCATGTTTAAATCAGTCTTGACTTCAGTCACGTCACCTGCTTTTGCACCTCTACCACATTGCGATTGAATCGTGAATCAATGAATTGAGTCAACTCAGGGGCCTGTCATCCCGCCCCCAGGGGAGGACTTCACCTGCGTATTTGCTTTTACTTTAGTGTCGTCGATCCCACCGTCTTGTTGATCAAGTGGGTCGGCTCAGTTTGGCCTAAATGCGAATTGTATTTGCTTGGCTAACCAATGTACCAATACATTTAAACATCGGCGTGTGCCTAGGTCTGCAGTCTGCTTGCCACCCTCTTCTGTGTACACAGCAACGTGCAAGTCAGTAGGGAGTCAGCCGCACTATAACACTTCCAATCATTTATTCGGTCGTTGCCGCCCCCCAAGCCCAGTTGCCTTACTTGTGGGACTGGGTTTGCGAGTTCTAGCCCCACAGTTGCAGATGGAATATGAGCCGCTGACGGTTCCCGAAAACATAAACAACCGTACGGTGCTTTTTCGGGCAAGTAGTGTCTATCCGACTGGGCATAGATGTGCAGAACTTCAATTTGTGTAATGCGTATTCCCCTACAAGTTCTTAGCACGCTATTTTTCCTGTATGTTACCGTGTATCAGCACCGCTACTGTCTGTTAGTTGTTTCCCATGGCTCATGCGTCACCCAACATTTCAGGAATTTTGTTTTTTATATTCCTATCCAGTGGCTTCCTGACCCAATAGTGGTCTATTACTGCATCCGAAAGTGATACTACGTGCAGCTGCGTTCGCTTTATCTTATTCGTTTGCATCTCTACGGCCTCTTTAGTGATGGCTATCCACTGTGAGGTAAGTCTGTCGTTGAGTAATAACTGTAAGTTAGATAAACACAAGTGATATGTGGAACTTAGTGTTTGATATTCACAACGGACGCGAAACAAACCTGATCGACGCATTCTGGCATATTCTGGACTCTCCGAGCCCATGGGGATACACAGTAACGGGGCCGCAGAAGCACAGTACCAGAAGGAGAAGGTGATTGGCCAGCAGCTGATCTTGGCAGTAGTCTCGTGACACATATGACGCGATGCTCAGCGCGCTAAAGTTGTACTCTACAATGGAGTGCAGATACACTCCATTGGACCATACAATGCCAAACCGCAGCACTTCATCCGCTACAGCAGTGCAATTAAGTTGCTTCACGTGCTTCAAGCATAGGCCATTGGTGGAACCTTGGTGGAACCCATGACGCTTTCACGTAAGCAATCCTGTTGTGAAAAATGAGACGGCGTACGTAGCTTTGAGCAAGTAATATGTATAGGTGGGTCGTGCAAACAAGTTATCACACCGATTAGGGCTATCGAAATAATCCTGTTCGAAACGCAGTCTTATTTACAGACACGTGAATGCACTTCAAAAGTTGCAGCGTGCAATCGCACCACTCAGTATGATTGGTGGGTATACACATACAAAAAGGCGGACAACGCCTCATTGCCAAGTACTGGCCTACCTTCGAAGGGCTACTAGCCTCAAACGTTATACTTGCTCCTGTCCCCACACCATCAGTGTTATCCAGCATCAAATACATAGCAAAAATGGTTCTGAAGGAGCTACAAACCTTGCGTACACACAGCTTTTCTGGTGTGCATAACCTTCGCCCTAAAGCACTGCAGGCAGCAGCCATTCACCTAGCCCATCCACTTGCCGGATTCTTTCAGAGAAGTCCGTCTGATCCTACCAATTACCGTCCGGTAACACTTCTCTCTGTCCTTTCCAAAGTCATGGAAGCGATAATCGTTGTTGTAATGACGGGGCTACTTGGAAAACGCAGGCGATGCATTCTTAGGATGAATTGGTAATTTTCTCCATGAACAGCAGTTCTAGGTTAGAGTCCGAACATCACTGCCCAACCCTACTTGAGTGGAGTGCGATGGTCTTGCGAGAGCCATCCCCCAAAAATTTTACTTTTCCGGATGACGTTAAAAGTTAATCTGCGATCAAGAGAATGAACGACCACAAGATCCTCCATGTGCGACCTAGATGGGACCTGGCATTGACCGGTGAGGAATTCACTGCCATTAAATGTGGTCAAGTGACACATTATCCACATCCGCTATAGACACGCCTATTTCTAGAATATTGGGGCATATGACCTGCAGACAAGCCCTCAGGAACTTGATCTCGGTGTGCTGGTGCATGACGACTTCGGTTATTCCAGACAGCCGGAATTCAAAGGTGATAACCCGCACGTTGTTACCTTGCGGATGGCATTCGAAAGTTTGGATTCATCCATCTTCTCTATGATGCTCCATGCCTACGTGCGTTAACACGTCGAATACGTAATCCAGGCTTGGCACGCTTGGCTAAACCGTGACCTTGCAGCGCTTGAAACTCACCATAGTCGAACAGCGACTAAAAACCCTCGGAGTGTTCAGTAGACGCTACAGGTGGCTACGTGGAGGCCACATATTAGTCTACCAGATACGAAACGGCCCCACGTACACATTTTGCCACCTATTGCAACTCATCCTGAACACCAACTTCACAGGCGATAGCCTGAAACTGAGTCAACAACAGTCGGCTTTTCATTAAGGCTGCACGAACCTCAGCTCATAGCGACTCAATGATTCCGCCACAAGTAGCCATCGAACGTTTCGGTGCCTACATGGTTTATGTGCTCAACGACAGCCTGAACGTTAAGAATTCTATCCGACCGGACGCATCATTAGCACCATTTGCCAGCGGACCAGTTTAGTCTTTAACACATTTGTGAAAGAGGCTAAGAATAGTAACAAGAATATATTGGAACGATCATCTATATTAGTAAAGGATATGTTCAAAATATCCGCCGGCATTCTGATTGCAGTGCAGCAATCGCCTGATGCTGTTGGCGAGCACCTTCTCCAATGTATCCCTCGTGATCGCGCGACATTCGTTCACAATATTTTCTTTCAACTGGCCCAATGTATGCGGCCTTTTTTTGTACACTCGCCGCTTCAGATAGCCCCATAGGAAATGTCCATGGGGCTCAAAGCTGATGAGCGAGCAGGCCATTCCATTGGTCCACCGTGTCCGCTCCAATGTGGCCAAATTTGTCGGGGAGGTAAGCACGCACCGTTTTAGCAGAATGTGCAGGTGTACCATCCTGCTGCCACCAAATGGTACTGCATGCCCCTTCGGCCTCCAACTGGGGAAGCACAAACGTCTGCAGCATTTCCAAATACGACAATGTTAGGAAAAGATAAGGCTTTAGTACTTCAAAACGACAACCTATCGGTTACGTTCCCGGAAAAGAAATATGGGCTTGTTAGTCCGGCCCAAACATCATGTTTACACCGTGGTGCATACGTGATGCGGTAAATTTTTGTGGGTTTCTGGTAGCCCAACAGTAATGTTTCATTGTTCCATGCAGATGAAACAATGCTTCATCTAGAAAGATAACAGAACGAATATCCTCGTCATCTAGAAACCAGTGGCGAAATTCGTGCCACTTCTCCGGATGGCATGGTTTCAAACCTGCATTTGAAGTGCACAGAATCTCCGAAATTTTCGTTCCAGTAATATGCGGTGTACCGCATATCTGGTCGTGCCACAGTGCTGTGCAATCCGACGGATGCTGAGATCGGGACTTTTGACACTTCACTGACTACAATGCAAGTTGAAAAGTCGTCCGTGGTGATGCGAGGCGGTCCGGTTCTTTTCGTGTTACACACACTTCCAGTTTGCTCCAACTTCTTCACTAGTTTAAGCACATACCGGGCGGTGACGGGAGGCATTCCTGAGTTCATTGCGTTATATTTTCTTGAAGCTGATGTGGCGTTTAAACCGCATTCACCGTACAGCCGAATAACCAGCGCGCGCTGAGGAACAGGAACGTTACGTGCTCCGGACTGCATTGTCTACTCGTTCTCCATTATTTGTGATTCAATATCTTGACAAGAGTTGCAATGGCTTACCTCGTCCTCAGCTGATCCACGTAGGTAAATTAACGCTAATCAACCTTCTTCCATCAGACTAACGGCATAAGCTCGCAGTTTGGTATAAATGTGGACACTGACTACGCACGGATTTTAAGACGGCCTGGCACTGTTATCAGCGCCGAACAACCGAGTTGCAACTCCAATGGACATTGGTGAGTTCAGTTCAGCTGCGGACATTCAGTACTGCTGTATGTGAGAAAATGGCTACAGCTGTCAATACGCCTTACTTCACCTGGTCCATGAGAAATACATTGCGTCATAGAGGGGATCATAGATTGCTCGTCCAAAACCGTACCATGCGGTAGACACCACACGACTGTATGCCCGTGTCGTTCCCATAAATGAAGACTAACCAGGTTCTCATAAATTCGAAATTACTAAATATTCAACCAGGGTAACACAGTTTTCTGGAAATGTAGATACTTGCTAATCAACAGCAAACGTAACTATTTGCTACTAAGAGATGCAAACCTCCCTCCATGTCTACTTTGAAGAACACACTCGTGGTTTTTGGATGCGTGAAGAGCGCTTCGGCAGGCCACTTTAACCCATGAACCTAGTCAACTGTGATCTGCAACGTATGCCAGACGGACGCTTGTTCTAATGTGCTGGGTGCACACCGGTTGTTCCCTGCGATAGGTTCGCCAGTTCTGAGAGTTGGTTCATTATACCCCGTGCGCCCACCTTTTAACTCGGCTCTAGCTTTGCCCTCTGTGGCCACTCTAATTCTCACCACACAATATTGTGCGTGCGCTCGTTCGAACCAGTTCCACAAGCTCTACTCAATGCTTCCCAACACTTGAGTCTAACCTGTGTGGATTATACTCTTGCTCCAGCTCCCAGTTTTCGTCATATTCTTTGCCGAATTCCACTTGTGTAACTATATCAAACCGGTTTTTTCGGAAAAGATTTTGGTCTCCTTCGGAAGAAGAAGCTGATGACTCCCAAACTGCTCGGCAACCATCCCTGCACGTTGCAGCATAACCAAGTTACAGTCTTTTTGCTCCGCTCATCAACTGAACAGCTCTAGGGACGCTTATCAGCGTTCCACCTGAATCGTCGCTTGAGGCAGGTCGATTAACAC